ATAATGTTATTATTCCTGAGTTAATGAAATTAATCATAAACTATTAAAATAAACCCTGGACTTGGAATAATAAATAATCTGGATAATCGAAGATAATATTTGAAGTTGAAGAAATTAAAAGATGATTAATGGATAAACATTAAAGATGATGACGAACTTTAAAAGATATTGGAATAAATTTAATGAAAGGTCTGATTCCCTTTCTAAAATAACTGAATTAGTGGTGCCTTCTAAAATAATGGAACAACAGTCTTACCTTTGGGAAAGGACTATAAACTCCTTAAAAGAACCGTTAGGTCACTTTATTAGGTGATTCTTGAGAAAACCAAGGACCACCGGTGACAGCGTCCCAAATCCCAAATGATTTGGGATTTGGGCAACACGTATACAGGACAAGTATGTAAAAAAGGATTTCCTCATCTTTATTGTAAAAATATACATTATGAAGAAAGAAATTATTGTTATATATATAAATGTTTAACTAATGCAGATTCATGAATAGTTTCATATCATGTTTTAACATTATTAATTCGGAATGTACATATGAATGTACAATATATAATCAGTAAAGGATTTGTAAGATATATGATTAAATATATTACAAAAAGAGAACCTTTCCATATTTTTAATATTTATAAAAATGATTTTTTAAGAGCTCATGTAATTGCTTATAGACTTAATTCAGTGGAATTAATGTTTTTATTATTAGGTCATTCAATATGTAACTCATCTGCTACTATACAATTTCTTGTAACTGATCCTCCAAATATAAGAACATATACAATATTACTTATTTATATGAATAATAAAAATGATAAAAATTCCTATTATGATGATACAATAATGAAATATATAGCATGACCTAATCTTCTTGAATTTGATAATTTAACATATTCTCAATATTATGAAAGATATATAATTTCTTTTTCTTTACCAACTACAACTTTACATCATATATATCATGATAATTTAAATAATTATATTGTTAAACATAATAAAGATATAATAATAAGATATCAATTTTTAAAAATTAATGATGGAGAATTATATTTCTATTAATAATTATTATTAAAAGTTCTATCTAGAAATGAATCAGATTATAAAAATAAACCTAATGGAACTTACTGTGAAAAATTTTTATCACTTTTTTCAAATTATTTAAATGATTTATAAAATCAAACTAGAGAAGTATATCAATCATGTATAACACATTTAGATAATAGATTTATTTAAACACTTAATCAACTTTTAAATTCTTTAAATGAACAACTTCCATCTAGTCTTTCTGATATTATATATATTCAATTAAAAAATTTAAATATTTTACCACCCATTTTTCCTAAAACAGCTATGCTTGAATTACTTCAGAATCAATATCATATATTATCAATAATTAATATGCATCTTGAATTATCAGATAGAATTAAGTGGCCTTATTATTTTATCACTGGATTTGTTGGAACTGAAAAATCTTATATAATTAATTTAATTAAAAATATACTTGATCAAAGGTATGCAAATTATTTATTATTATTACTTACTGGTATTGCTACACAAAATATTAATGGTCAAATTATTTATTCAGAATTACAAATTACTTTTAATTCTGAAAGTTTTTATATACAAGTTTATTCCAATCATGAACTTGTTGAAAGGTTAAAAAAGATTAATACTCTTATTATTGATGAAATTTCATTAGTTTCAGCTAATTTATTTGATTTTGTTTATAATATTTTTGCAAGTTTACATAATAATGCAAATGCATTTGGTGAAATTAATATGATAGTAGTTGATGATCTCATCACCTTTCACCTGTTACAGGACAACCTGTATTCAAATCATGCATTTGGTAATTATTTTATTCACTATTTCTTAGAACAAGTCAATGTTAAAATAATGATCCAGAATTTTATAAAATGTTAGAAGAAATTTGATTTAATAATATTTCACCTGAAATATGGAATTTATTATAACAATGTGTTTCTAAATTCTTAACACACTCTACTATTGATTCATTACTTAATATAACACATATTGTAGGTTTTCGAGAAAGTGCATAGCAAATTAATAGAATGATTTGTAACTTATTATCTGTTCCAAATGACAAATTTTTAATTTCACAAGCATTAGATTTAATGGGTTCTGAATCATGGGATACTTATGATTCAGAACAAATCTTTAAATTAAAAACAAATTTACCTTCTTTTGTTTGTTTACAACCTGGTGCACGTGTTATGTACCTTAACAATTCCTTAATAGAACATGGAATTTGTAATTGAATAATAGGAATCATTACAGATATTGACCTTACAGATCAATCTGTTAGAGTAGTATTCTCAGCCAAAGGATCAATAATAGATATTCAAATTTATAAACATACACATTATTTTGAGATTAATGGATGTAATTGTCAAAGAACTCAATTCCTTATACAAAATTGCTTTGCCTCAACTATACACAAATCACAGGATCTTACTTTATCAAAAGTATGTCTTACATTAGATGGAAATATTTTTTTACCTGGACAAGCATATGTTGTCCTCAGTAGATGTTCAAATTGGAATAATATTCAGATATCTCATCTTGATCGATCAGCATTTATGACAGATCCTGATGTTATTCTTGAATATCAAAGATTAGAAATATTTCTAGATCCCATCCAAATGTATTTCATTAAATAATAACAATATAATAATATAAAAAAGAAAAAAATACATTCCGATATATTTTCTAAATAACAATTACACTATGTAACACAACATGTATATATCAAGTAACAGTGGCGTGGCTACTCTAAAAAAAATAATTGCTAGTTTTTGTATTAAAATTCATTGAAAGTTTAATAGTTTTTTATTTTATAAAAATATATTTCTAATAAAAGTTGCTCAATTTTTATTCGATAATAATAAAAATTAATATACTATTACTTAAAAATAGTCTAAACTATAAGTAAAATTTTTATATACATTATTATATAAAATATCTTTTAATTTAATTTTATAAAAGTAATTGACATTGATATCGATCCTAACGCAGGACATTTATGAGTTAATGTGAAAATTGATGGCACGTGAGGATTTCCGGTTGTCCCAAAAAAGTAATTTGATAAATAAAGAACACGAGATTACACAAATGAAAATAAAAATAATTTATTAAATAATAATTTAATTAATCCACATATTAATATTGCTCCGGACTAACCATTTTCTAGTACAAATGAACTCGGTTAAATAGGAATAGGAGTATTTAATTGAAGGGGAGGTTTGGAAGCGAAGTTTACACCAATTTTTCGAGCATAAAATATCGACGTACAAAAAATGGATAGATATATTTGAAGAATTATTTGAATTTTATAAATCAAACTAAGTTATCTTAAAGAAACTTAAAATTCGATAATGGTTTCTGAATTATTCTCATTCTCAATTAAAATCTTTATTAATTCTTTTAGTGTTGCTACAATTTCTTCAATAATCATATTTAGTTTGGTAAATCGTTTTGGTTTTCATTCCTTAATTCAAACCGGTTCATATTCTAGCCTTAACCCTTCCCAAAGTCTTTTCTTGTTGGCTTTTTAATCATTCTGTTTTAGAGTTTTAATTGATCTTATAGTTTCTTTAATCATTGTATTCATTGAAATCTTTGGTTATTATATCATTATATCTTTGTTTTGGATTTTCCAACTATTTTAATTCTTTTGCTGAGTGTTAACAATATTATCTAAATTTTCTCTTCACTTGAAAAATCATCTTCCAAAAAGAAGCTGTTGAATTTTACCTCGATTTTTTTCCTGTCATGTCTCTTCAAATTTCAATTAATAAATTAATTTCATAAGTAAACCATTCTGTCAGTACATTGAAATCTAACATTATTAACATTTCAGAAGGTTTAACCAACGCTCATTTAATTCATCAATGATTTCTTTGCTTTTCCCTTGAACATCTTTAGAAATAGTTCTTTATCATTTAGATTGTTCATAATGTAAATTTTTACAATTTCTTTGAATTTATAGTTACACATTAGTAGTGAGTACATTATTGAGGTGTCATGACAAAAGTAACGTCTCGTTATAAATGATATAAATAACATTAATCATCAATCTATCATTTTACTGATAAAATGTGACTTAATTAAAGTACAATTTATAGTAATTTACAGTAATTTAAAGTAATTCAATAATTTTGATATAATAAAATAATAATAATAATATTTGAAATTTCTTAAAAGATACACATATATATTTATATAAAACCCGTGAATTTAAAAATTTTTACATGAATTTTTCACGAGCCTTTCAACAATAATTAATTAATTCAATACAATTTAATAACAATCAATTCAATAATTTTTAATAAGAATCTTTTCTAGCATATGATGATTTCTGTTGTTGTTGTTGATTAAATAATCCACCACCCATTTTTCGTTGTTCTTCTGCCATCTGTTTAAACATTTCCATCGTTTCTTGTTCTTTCGTTTTATAGGCAATTGATTTTTCTTGTAAATTTTTGGCCTTTTCTGATTTATAAATTTCCCTTTTTTGGTCACGGGATTCACGAGCCCGATCTCGGGCGGCGATTCTGTGAAGTAAATTAATAAATTAATTAATTGTATGATTCGTATAATATTCGTATGATTAAATATAATTGATTAAATATATATATAAAATAAATACCTAGATCTATAATTATCGTCACCCAATAAATCACTATCATTCAATACCATATCAGGACTTTCTTCTCTTCGATAGTATTCGTTTCTAGCTCTCTTTTTCTCTATCATAGCTTCTCTACCTTTATTATTATTATTATTAATTTTGTTAATTTTATTATATAAAGTAATATATATATTATATATATTTTATACTCGTATATCACCTGTAGCTTTCGGAACCAATTCATCCATAACAACTTCCTGTGTTTTTTGAAAGCTTATCCTTTCTTTCTTTTTTAATGATCTTTCATATCGTCTTTTATCCTCTTCATCCATATCTAAGAAATCACTCGGAACACAACCCATAATAATAAATTTCAATTATCAACATTCTTTGGGTTTTATAAATATTTCAAACTTTACCTTCTTCATCTCCTCCTCCGATTCCTCCTCGGATAAATGATTCAGGTAAAGTTGGTCCTTTTACATAAAAAATTTTAATATAGTATAATCTAATAAATAACTATAATTTAAATAATAACTATAAATTTAAATAATTATGATAATGAAATATTATACCAATAATTCGTTTTTTATTATCAACATTTCCAACACCACCACCAACGACAATACCAATACCACCACTATTAAAACTACTTCCACCTCTACTATTAAAATTACTTCCTTTATTACTTGTCAGAAATTCGGAAGCGAATTTAACATTAGTCTGTCGATCCACAATATTTTTAACTTCTTCCAATTGATCTTGATCTCGATTTTCCATCTTTAGATTTTTCCATTTATATCGAGTTGTTTCTGAACTTGTTAATTGTGATGATCGTAATCCTTCATAATACTTTTCTGAAAATAAATATAATATTATTATCGTTTAATATTATTGATTGTTTTAATATTAATTATTGTTATAATTATCAATTATTTAATAATAATAATTATTATTTTCAATTGTTATTTTTTATCAATTGTATTATAGCGATTATTAATCAATGCTTTTCAAGTTATCATATAATGTATTAAGAGAGAAAATATTGCTCAACTATCTAATTTATATTTATTCCAAGCGTTAACAAATTTCTTAAAGTATCGATGTGCTTGTTCCGAAGATAACTCATCAAAGTATTTTTTCTTTTTTTCTCGAATCCATAAGCGAAATTCTACTGATTTTAAAAAATAATCGTCTTCTGTGATAACTACAATAGAGTAGAGAGTATATACAAAGTAGAGAGAGAGATAAATCGATCACCTTGAATCTAATTTTTTAACGATAAAAAGTATTTATATTTACAAGTAGGTGGTTGCTTTCTTTCCTCTTCTGAAGCTGATACATTTTCAGAATGATGATTGTGACGATGTTTATGATGTTTTTTTTTAAGTTTCTTTGAATCTTTTTTATGTGTATTATGATTACTACGTTTATGACTTTTTTCTTTATCTTTTACTTTTTCTTTTGCCTCTCCCTCTTCTTCGTCACTATAATAACTTTTGTGACGTCTCTTAAGACGTGAAGGAGGAGATTCATGACGATGCGAAGAAGACATTATTATAAATTTTACTCAAAGACAAATTTCTTATTTGATAAATCATGTGATATCTATGATAATTATTTAATTTATTTTTTAATTCAATTTACTAAATTTAAATTTCATTAATTATTATTATTATTATTATTATTATTAAATTACTCTAATTATTATTATTATTAATTACTTTATTATACGTATTATGTATTATTAATATCATTAATATCATTACCATAATTACTATTATCAATATTAATATTAATCCCATTTAAAGTTTTACAGGGTTGCCTTATTTCAAAAGATCCCGTTCCACCTTGAACCACTTTACCCAATACTAATCTAGCGGAAGGAGAATTTAAAACATCAACATCACCAAATAATGTGGCTTGAGTTAAAAAATAACAAGTGGTTTCAAAACTCATCTTTAAAAATGGTGAAGGATTTGAATCGATTCCCATTCGATTGAAAGGTTTGAATTGACCTTCGAATGTCTAAGAGGGATATGAGGGATATGAGGGATAAGAGGGATAAGAGGGATAAGAGGGATAAGAGGGATAAGAGGGATAAGAACAAGGATAAGAAAAAGAAGAAGAAGAAGAAGAATAATAATAATAATAATAAATAATAATAATTACCATATAATCAGCCACTAATAACAAATGTCTTGGATCAACTTCAATTCCATAAGCAGAAAATACATCCGAAATTTCTTTAATAATAGCATTTCTAGCAGCTTCAACTCCATAAGTTTCTAAAATAGCCACAATATCATTAGAATATATTTTATTAACATCAATTATATTGTCATGTCTCCATATACTATGAAAATTTACTCCTTCGGTAGCAAGAATTTTTTTCTAAAATTTTGAATTAAATAAAATAAATAAATAAAAATTTTTTTTTTTTTATTAAATAAATAAATCACATTTTGATTAATTAAAAAGAAAACATTTGACAGTACATTATCATCCTTGTTATTATCATCATTTGAAATAGGATAACATTTATTAATTCCTTTGATTTCACGAATGACTGATCTTTTACTTGCAGATTCTGCAATAGCTAATAATAATAATTTTTTGGTACCAGCTGGAAACTGAATAATTAGATGATTATTAGATAATTATTAGATTATTATTAGATTAATTATTATTACTTTAACTCACCTTTAATTCAATATCACACTGATCATCATCTTCATCAAATTGACAATTAGTAACATAAATTGTTTGCGTTTGTGTTGATTGCTTCCTCTTCTTTTTCGTTATTATCGATGATGATTTTTTCTTTATTTCTTTATTTTTCTTTTTATTATCATTATCATCATTATCGTTATCATTATTGTTATTCTCGTCGTCATCATCATCGAAATCAGTTTTTTGTTGGTTGATAATTTCCATATCATCATAATCAGGTTCATCATACGTTGCAAATTGACGTGTACGTGAATTTATTTTTTCATATGTTGCATCTCCATCTCCATTATCTGATTCTATAAAAATGAATTGAAGAATTATACCAATTATAATTAATTAAAATATATAATTAAATATATAATTAAATATCAATTATAAAATAAATAATCAAATAAATATCGATTATAAATAAATATCAATTATAAATAAATATCAATTATAAAATACCGTATCCAACATCATTAATTGGGACATTATCATCCAATATTTCTTCATTTCTGGATCTCTTAATTGGTCTACCATTATTATGACCGATATCTTCCATTTCTAATTTTTTAATATTTTTTGAAGATCCTTTAAATTGTTTAGTGATTTCATTTTCCAGATAAAATAAGAATTGAATTTTAATTGTTCTTTCGATTTGCCATGGTTTAATATTAAATTCTTTTTTATATTCTTCTTGGGTATAAAATATCATGTGAATTTTATATATTTTATTTCTACCTCCATTATCACCATTATAACCACTATCATCAACATTATTATAATCTCGTTTATTTGAAATAATTTCCGTGACTTCCATTTGATCAATGATTTCAGCCAACGTTAATTTACTGGTTTTTTGACAAAATTCATTTGATTCTTTATCTGTGATATTATTTAACAATGGTAATGTCATCATCGGTGTTTTAATATTACGTGAAGCGGTCATAATTATTTCACGTAATCTTGGTATACCCAATGTAACATTTTTAGCTCCAAATCCGGCAAAATGAAATGTGTTTAATGTCATTTGAGTTGAAGGTTCTCCGATACCTTGAGCTGCTAATAATCCAACTGCTTCTCCTGGTTCAACTAAACTACTCAAATATTTAAGGTGCATTAATTTACGAAATCCTGGTTTGGTTATTAATCCATTTTGAAATATTTTTTTAAATATTTTAGAGGGATTTTCTTCTTTGGTGAACTATATAAAAAATAATTATTATAAAACTAATTATTATAAAAAATAATTATTATAAAAATAATTATAATAAAAAAATAATTATTATAAAAATAATTATAATAAAAAAATAATTATTATAAAAATAATTATTATAAGTTAATTAAAATAATTACCTCTTCTAGAGAATTATGAAAATTTTCCGAAACACAACCTAAATATCTACTCGGAGAAAATATCGAAAGTACCGGGTCATATTGATTTGGTTTTTTAGCAGCTTTCTTAGCATGTATTGAAGCTTGAGTGGTATTAAGAATTTGTTGAGCTTCAACGATATCATATTTTTGTAATAACGCTTGAAAATTTTGTGCCAAGAATTCAAATTTATAAAGATGTTTCTGTTTAATGACATCTAACGAATCTTCTCCATAACGAAATTGAATTATTGATCCATCTCCATCTCTCACGGTATAATCATAATGAACTCGTAAACTTTCTAAATGTTTAATTAAACAACGTTGAAGGTATCCGGATCGACTGGTTTTTACTGCTGTATCAATTAGACCTTCTCGTCCTGCCATACAATGAAAAAAATATTCCTATAATAATTAAATATAAGTAATTAAATATAAGTAATTAAATATAAAAAAATATATTATTTTAAATAGAATTACATACACACACACAAATATATATATATATAAATATATATATGACATACTTGAGGCTTAATACCAGTTAAGAAACGACCACCAATAAATCCGCCAGCTCGAGCTGATAAATCGTAAGGTAAAAAGGATGGAAGGGTTTTCCCACTAACCATTACAGGTACTCGACGACCTTCAAGTTCTTGTTGTCCTTTTTATTTTAAAGATTTAAATATGATATAACATAATATAATATATAAAATGTAAATAATATATACATAATATATATAATATATAAAAAATATAATGATTACTTACCTAAACAACAGGAAATTTGTGATACGTTTACATTGGATCCTTTGGCACCAGTTATAGTCATAGTTTGCATGTTATTCTGAGGGAAAACTTTTAACAACCCATCAGGTATACATTTCGTAATTACATTTGAAGTTAATTTATTGACTTTTGATTTCATAGTAGCATCTAAAGCTTCATGTTTTTCAGAATCTCTAATAACCTCTTCCATCATATTATTATAATCTATTAGAAATGAAATAAAATATAAAGTAACTATTAAATTAATTAATGAAAGAAATAAAAAAAAAAAAAATAAAATAAAATTAATCATAATCAACAAGAAATAAAACAAATTAAATACCTTCACTTTTCGCAATTTGTGAATCAATTCCCACAAATTCCCATGAAGCTTCTTTTCCCAATTCATGATTATCATTTAAAAGTTCTTTTCTCCCTTTATCCCCTTCAGGATTTAATCTTAAATCATCCATTCGACAAGAAAATCCTTTTTGTTGAATATAACAAGTAAATAATCTACCTAATATACTAAGCAATTGTCCTGCGATATCGGCTGAATATAATTCGTAACATGAATGAATCAATCCATATGAAGTTGCTCCAATTTGTGATTTATCTAATACTCCGGTAAGTAATTCTCCATTTAAAAATATTACTGTATCTTCTTCCATCGCACTCCATCCCCAATATTTGTTTGATACTTTGTTTTTGGATGTTAAATTAAGTGGTGCATAACCAATTGTTAAATTCTTTAAAATTGTGGAAATCTACAAAATAACAATATTATTATTATTATTATTATTATTATTACAATTATTATTATTATTATTATTATTATTATTATTATTATTATTATTATTATTATTATTATTATTATTAAAATATTAATATAATATTAATATTATAATAATATAATAATACCTAATAATTTAATAATATTAATATAATAATACCTAATAATTTTATAATCTAATATAATAATGATAATAAGTAAAACTTACTACTTGCTTTCCGGTCCATAAAGGTTTCGGTTTTATTATAGCCGGTGTTATAGTAATAATTTTTCTTGAATCATCCGGATCAGGTCTTAATCCGAAAAATATCATCTGCTGATAATCCGCTTTATTAAAGAATGTATCTTTAATGGTCATCCAAACTCCCGTGACAACGTGATCTTGAATCAATCCTCTTAAAGGTGATCCGGAAGTTGGTCCTAAATATTGATTATTGGTATTTCCTATTAACATTGATTCTGATCTGGCAATTTCATTTTGAGGAAAATGTAAATTCATTTCGTCTCCATCAAAATCCGCGTTATACGTATTACAATTAGCATAATGCATTCGAATTGTCATTTCCCCCTTTAATACTCTAACTCGATGTGCCATGATTGAAGGTTTATGTAAAGTAGGTTGTCGATTTAATAATACAAAATCCCCATTTCTCAAATGTCGAAATATTTTTTTATTAATGTATGGTGTCTTTACAAAATATTGAGTAAGATCCATGGTATTCTGTTGTTGTTCTCGCATTAATTGTTGTCCGTATGATATACGTGATTCTAATGATAAACTAGCCAAATTAATCATTGATCCATCTTCATTTTGAATAAACGTTGCTCCGGGCCAAATATTTGGTCCATTTGATACAGCTTGACTTAATTCATTAACATTATACGGTGTTACCGGTTCGGGATATGTTAATTTTTTGGCAAATTTTTCTGGAATCTAATGTTGATTATATAATAATAATTATTTTTCATTGTTTATTATTATTTATTATTATTATTAAGAATTAATGTATTTATTGGTATATAATTATTAAATAGAATTAATATTTATATAATTATTAAGAATTAATATTGTATAGTTATTAAAATATTTTATTTAATAATTATTTTTATTATTAAATTAATAAATGTAAGAAAAATTACATACACCAATTTCATCAGTATCAACATATGGGTCCGGTGATATTACAGAACGAGCTGCATAATTCACTCTTTTACCCTAATAAATAATTAAACAATAATTTAATAAATTATTTAATTTAATAATAATTATTAATTTTAATATCATAAAGTTACCATTAAATGCTTTCGAAATAATCCTTCTTTTTTTTCTAAAATTTGTTTTATCCCCGGAGTAGCCACTTTTCCGAAAGCTACCGGAGCTTTTGAATTATCAATTAAACCATTAACAGCATCTTGTAAATCAATCCAACATTTCATTAAACTTTCAACTAAATTTTCTCGTGATTTCTTTTTTTGTTCCTGAGAATAATTTTCTTCTATTGTTTTTTTATTATCTTGATCTAAATTTCCTGCAATACTACAAAATTGTTGTCTTACTTTTAAAATTTTGGTTAAATGTTCATTTTGTGGATTTTCCATTACTAAATCATTAAGTAAAGATGCAGGTCGAAAACGAGTAGGAGGTACCGCAACTACATCCATGAAAAAAATATCTGCACTAACTCCTTTTCTTTCTCCTCCATCGTCTCCGACTCCAATTCCTTCTCCTATTCGTGGTCGTACTTTATTACTATCATTGTTTAAAATTCCTTGTGATCCATAAAGTACATTACATATTTCTGATTCATTCTCAAATATTACTCGAAAATGATTGCGTAATTCTTCAGGTGTAATGTATTGCGTAGTAAATCGAGATGTTTTTTTAATATTGGAACCATCATTATTATAATCATTATCATTAAGATCATCATCATTATTATCTAAGTCTTCTTCCTCTTCTTCTTCGTCTTCTTCGTCAATATTAACAAGTGTCTCTGAATCCTTCTTATTCTTCTTATTCTTTGTCTTCTTTGTTTTCCTCTTTTTATCCTTATCCTTATTTGTTGTTCTTTTTTTTGTCGTCTTTGTTAAATTGTTTCTCGAATTTAATGAACGACGTAAAAATATTTTTGAATTTCCTTCTCTTTTGAACGTACCGCAATTACTAAAATTGAATAATATTAAATAAATAAATAAAATAAAAGTAATATTAAATAAATAAAATAAAATAATAATAAAAAAAACATACGCCAAGCAATTTCCACATTTTCTTATTGATGAACATTTGTTTAAAAATTCTGACATTAAATTTTTTCGTTCCACATTTATAGCCGTAATTTTATATTTTATTTTATTATCTTCATTTTTTAAACATTTATTTACGTATTTTTCTGATGATATAATAATAAAAAATTAATTAAAATTAATTATTATTAATAAAATTTTAATTAATATTAATACAATTTAATTTCATTTAATACAATTTAATTAATATTAATTTCATTTAATATAATTTAATTAATTAATTTACAATGTGAGTTTACTTACCAATAATATGAATATCTTCATCCTTATCAATAACCTCATTTTCATTATCATTCTCATCGAAAATATTCTTACTCTTATTCTTTTCATTCTTTTTATTATCATCATTTTCATCATTTTGATCTTCTTCGTCTGATAACAAATTCTTAGTAACTATTCCATCAAGTTGTTTAGATTCCAAAATTAGTCCATGTCTCAATAATTTGAATTTAGCTGCAAACCGAAATTTCTTTTTTTAAAAAGAGAGAGATATATATATATATATATAAATCATTATTAATTTTAAAACGTTATCATTATTTACTGAACATTTCCTATTACCTGCGTTCTCGTTAATTTAAAATGATCACAATTAATACAGGTTGCTTTTAATAAAACTAATATATGATTAAAGAATACTGGATTGTATACAGGACAAGGTAACTGAATGTGACCAAAATGACCTGGACAATTATATTGGTCAAGACCACACGATTCGCATCTACAAAATAAATAAAAAATGGTGTGTTAGTCACTACTGATAGGTGATCTTACTAATTCTACTAATAGGAAATATAATGCATAATAATAATAATTACATACATAGTACTCTGAGTAAACGGTCCTAAGGCTGGATCATATAACCCTCCACTCGTCGGTAATCCAAGTGTATCAAAAATTATTGAATTATTTATTTCTTTTGCTGATAATTTCTTGATTTCTTCTGAAGTATAACAAGCGAAGGTGGCGGATTTAATATCAACACCAAGTGGATGTGCGATATTCATTTTTTTTTTTTTTACGTTTTTCGATTTATGAATTATTTATCATTATACACAGATGAAAATTAATTCGCGTGAAAGATATTGATTTTCATGCTAATAAAACATCAAGAACGGGTATCTGCCTTATTCCGTAAAAGTAAGATCAATCAGGTAATTTCCAAAATGGGATAACTAATTCACATAATTTTTGATATTCTATCGTGATCATACATATATATTTGCTACCCAATCTTTAGAGCATAGGGATAGTTTGTTTTTTATTGGCCGGTGATCAACAATCTCGTGATTGACATGATCGATCAAAATTTCGATTTTATTGGCTGGTGATCAAAATCTCGTGATTGTCATGATCGATCAAAAATTTAGATCAAAAATTTAACATGCGATTTGTTTTATCAAAATAAAAACAATCAACTTCTTTAACATCTCATTAATTATTCCAATATGGTTTGAAAAAATTCTGGTCCCTGTTCAATACAGAATTGTAATAGTCAAGGATTCCATTTTTGCAAATTCACCTTATTAGCATATAAAAAAACTCAAAAAAATAAAAACTTCAAATATTATACTTATTTGAAAATCAAACAACAACTGTATCATACTTATTATATGCGTATCGTTGAAGCTGACCATAATGAAAAGTTAAAATTACAAGGTAATATTATATTATCATAGAATTTTATTTATATTTATATTATAAAATAATTATTTGATATTCTATTTTATAAAATCAAAAAATTATTCATTATTACTATATTTTTTTTATCCTCTTCATTGTCATCACATTTTCACTATCGTTCCTATTCATCACACTCCATTACCGTTAATCTCCATTTTAGAGATGTGATCCGTGAATAACCAATCTACCAATTCACCAAATTATCCATGATAATACAGATTGATGAATCACTTTTTAAAAATTTAAAAGATCCGAATTAAAAAAAAAATAATCTGAATAATCTGAATTATATGTTAAATTTACGGATTGAAAGATTACTCCACAGATTGAAGGATTAATTCAAATTATTTTTTCAATCTACAGATTACTCCTTTAATTTGTGAATTATTCTTTTAATCCGTCTCTAAAATAAAAAAAAAATCTTCCATTTCATGAATTTATTTAAATCTACCTTAATTTTCTCACATTCCTTTTTTTTTTTTTAATTAAAAAAATGGTTGAAGAAGAAGAAAGTTTACTACATTTAAGTGGTACTCAGAAAGAACATGAAGCTGAAAGTAATTTTTCTAATAAACCTTTCGTTTTTATTGAAAAACTTCCTTTAGATAATAGTGAAAATAGTGAAACTGAATCTCTACAATCTAATCAAAGTTACAAAAAACAAATAAATGAAATGGAAAAGGAGAGAAAAATAATATTAAAAGAAGAGAAGGGAAGTGAAAGGGAATTAAAGATACGAAATTTGGCAGGGAGAAGAAATTTGATATTTTCACGAGGAGAATAGGCAAAATTAGTGATTTTGATATTTTCACGAGAAGGGGAGATGAAATCAGCAATTTCACGAGAAGAGAGATGAAATATAAAAGAAAAGGAGGAGTGAGCCAAAATATATTAGAAAAAAGGTTAGAGGAAAGGGAGGGAAGTTGAAATATATTAAAAGAGGAGGGAGAAGATCGAAATAGGTAAGAAGAAGGAGAAGAAGGGTGAAATCAGTATGAAGGAGATGAACGAAATCAGCATTTTCATGAGGAGAAGTGTAGTCATCGTTTACTTAAGGAGAGAGAGAAGAGTGAAGAGAAGAGGGGACAAAATATTTTTGAAAAAGGAGAAGGAAGTCGGAATGTACAGAATGTGTTAAATCTAGAGGAGAAAGGTCAAAATCAACAAGAGGAAGAAGAGGATGAATGTGATTGGCATTTTTGACATTTTTATGATGAGGAGAAGTTAGATAAACAAGAAGAAGAAGATAGGAGACAAAATAAGTGGAAGAAAAGGGTATATGAACAAAATAATGAAGATAATGAAAGTAAAAATGAAGAAAATAATAAATTAAAAAAAAAAAAAAGAAAGAGAAAATATTTAAGAAAAAGAGAACTAATGTATTGAACCTGAAATTTTGTGGAAGGTGGAAGAAAGTCAGTAGGATGAAGAAGGAAATATACAAAATCAAAGTCTTTATAAAAAAGAAAAATTCTATAAAAGAATAAGACAAATTTCTAATTCTAATAATAAAGAAATAGAATCAATTATTAAAAATACAAAATAAAGATTTGAAAAAGAATAAAAAGAAGAAAAAATCTATTATTAAAAAAAGTTGGATATAGAATTGGTTTAAAGAAATAACTTTATCCAATGGTGATATAGTTGTTAAATGTCAAGCTGAAATTATATATGAAAAAATATGTAAAAATCATTTTAAAACTGGTGGTTCAACTGAAAATTTGATTACACATTTAAATAATAAACATTAAATTTTGGAAGAAATGAAAAAAGAAGAAAGAATGATAATAATTTCATTAAATATAATATATTTAAACTTTTTTTATAAATTAATTAATTTTTGTATTATTATATATTTTAGATCAAAGTACAATAAGTAATTTAATTAAAAAAAAACCTTACAACAAATTGCAACAAACCAAATTAAATCAACTTTTGGTTGAATGGATTATTTCTGAAAATCTTCTATTAAGTATAACTCAATCAGATTCATTTCATAATTTCATTAGTGCACTTGATCCAATTTTTACTATTCCTAATATAAAATTAATAAAACAAATAATTTACAAAGTATATAATTATGCATTACTTTTTTTAATCAAACTTATTGAAAATAATATACTATTTGTTAATTTAACAACAAATATGTGAATTGCTCATAATCGACAAGGATATCTTGGTATTACATGTAATTATTTAAATGAGAATTTTAAACTTCATGAGCAAGTTCTTTCAGTTGAATATGTTAGATATCCTCACATATCTGCTCATATTAGTGATACAATATTATCTATTTTGGATGAATGGAATATTTGTGATAAAACATTTACAATTACTACTGATAATAGGTCAAATATGAAAAAAGCAATTGAGATTTTGAATATAATTCTTCAAATATTTAATGGTAATTTTGTATTACCTACACTTTACAATTAGTAGTTGGAAAAGGTTTAGCAAAAGTGAAAATGTTAGTGATAAGAGCTAAACGATTAATTAATTTTTTTCTCTGTTCTAAACAAAGTGAATATTTGAAAAATGTTCAAAAATATCAAAAACATTTAAATTGACAATGTGATATGATAAGGTTATATTTTATATAATTTTATTAAATTATAAATTATTTAATTATAAATTATTTAATTATAAGTTTTAATTTAGGAACTTATTGAAACATCTGAATACCTTATATATTGTATTATTGATATTTCGACAAGATGAAATTCTAGCTATTTAACTTGGGTTTGACTTTGAAAGTCAAGGAGTTTATATTAATTTTGATAGGACAAATGAAAAGCAGTTCAGATTATGAGACCAAAAAAGATGGAAAATGATTAAATTCAATTTTACTCAGTGATATGAAGTGAAAATTATTAAATGACTTAGTTAATTTATTAAGTCTATTTGAAGAAGCAACTAAATTTTTATGGAAGAAGTAAATATATCACATATAGTATAATGTATTTTATTATCCAAGAAATTAAAAAATGACTTAAACTAATATTTACTTCTAATAATTTATTAATTAATAATATTGAAAATACTAAAGATATTTTTAAAAATAATCAATTGAAGATGAAAATAAAAATGAAATTGAAAATATTAATAGATTAATTAATACAAGAGGTGTTTTAGATTCAGTACAAATAACTTTATATAATGTTACCTAATATTATACGTGTTGCCCAAATCCCAAATCATTTGGGATTTGGGACGCCAAAATCCCAAATTACTAGTATTTGGGATTTGGGATTTGAGATTTCGGCAAAAAATACTAATCATAATTTGGGATTTGGGATTTGGGATTTCGGCATTTGGGATTTCGGCATTTGGATTTTGAATTTGGGTGGCAGGTATACCTAATATTATTTTGATTTTCAAGGAAATGTTTATAAAATTGCAACAATCCTTAATTTGAGAATTTAAAAATTAAATTTCATTGAAGATGAAAACAAAAAAAAAAGAATTTGAAATTGAACTATATTCTAAATACAATTTACTTTATAATACTTTATTTTTACCATTTAATTCAAATAATAATAATAATAATCAACATAATAATAATAACAACAACAATAATAACAATAATAATAATAACACTCTTTTTTTGATATTTTATAAATCAAATTTAATATCCTCAAATAAAGTTTCTGAATATCTAAAAGAAGATGAAATAGAATTTCAGGGAGACCCATTTACTTGATGAAATTACAAAAGGAACAAATATTCAAATTTAGCTAAAATTGCTTGTCAATATCTTTCAATATCTATGATTTTTACTCTTAGCGAAAAGTTATTTAATAACGTAGAAAATATTATAAACAATAAAAGAACTTTCTTAATTCTGAGTTTTTTAAAAAAGAATGCAAATTGTATTACAAGCATTCATCTATAAAATAATAAACAATGTAAATAATATAAATATAAATAATAAATATAAAAAATATAATATAATTAATATACAAATATCAATAAATAATAAAGAAATTTTAACAAATTAAATGAATATATAAATAAATAATGTAAAATAATATAAAAAATAAAAGTCAATAAATAATAATAAAATTTTAAATGAAATTTGTACTTTAAAAAACTTAAAAATAATTAACAAATATTACAATATGTAAAAGTTTATTAAAAAATGTCAAAAGTAGTTTAATAAATTTGAAAGCCAGAAGTAAAATATACTATTAACAAAATTTTCAAACCTTTTTCTTAAGAACTGAATAATTCTGAATGTTTTAATTTTTATTTTCCAAAAGTCTGAAAATAATGAATATTACAATATATAAATAATTATAATAGAATTTTATTTTTAAGCAAGTGT